TTTTCTTTTTTTTTTTTAAGATTTTATTTATTTATTTGACAGAGAGATCACAAGTAGGCAGAGAGGCAGGCAGAGAGAGAGGGAAGCAGGCTCCCCACTGAGCAGAGAGCCCGATGCGGGGCTCGATCCCAGGACGCTGAGATCATGACCTGAGCCGAAGGCAGAGGCTTAACCCACTGAGCCACCCAGGCACCCCCTAGCTGGCATTTTCTAAAGAGATGCAGTATTCAGGCTAGGTATTGGCTACTTTTCCCAGCAGATTTCAGTTTGTCAAACTTTAAAAACTCTATCATAGATAGTAGTCACCTTCATTTAGGAATATGTTCATAGAAACAGCTCTAATACTAAGGTCTATAGTACCGAGGAGCTCTCGTTTGAGAGAAGAGATGATCCATCTTTTTATTTATACCCCAGAGCCAAGATAGGATAACACCCATTGAGAAAAATCCAGAATTAAGGTGAGACGAGAGCTCAAGTTGACAGCGGTCAAAGCCAGAGCAAAATGACAGTTTGTATGTCTGCCAAACCAAGGAGGAGACAAGAGCTGAGGTCATTTCTAAAAAGTGTCTGTGATGGTACAGAACAAGTACAGAACTTTCCTTAGCCTGCACCAAAGATTGTGTATAGTTTAGATAATTATAGATCTCAAGGTCCAGAAGGAAGTGCCCTAGTTAACTTGTAGCCAGAAAAATAACTATGCCAGGAATGTGGACCTCTTCCAATATCATAACAAGGAAACTTGGACTCCTCTCTGACCTCCATAGGTTTAAGGCCATTTAATAGTGTTAACTGACCCCCTTCCCACCACTGAGCTACGGTTAATTCCTACCAGGCAGGCTGAAAGATTTCTGTTCTGGGAAAACAAAAATTTTAATAAGCTTATTCAAAAGTACTGGACATTTGAAAGAAAGTACTTAATTGAGTCAAATGTCTGTCTCTCACAGAGCTCCATACTGAAGTCCTACTCGGGATGCCTCAAAATGGTTGAGCACTCTCTATGCATTAAAGATTATTCTGAGCACATTACATGGATTATCTCCTTTAATCTTCCCAGCAAACTAGGAGTTAATACAAACTCAGGAGCCCAATGCCTGGATTTAAAAAGCTACACTGTCATTTAAAAACTAACTTTGGGCAAGTTACTTAACCTCTGTCTTGGTTTCCCCAAACACAAAATGGAAATAATAGTATGAGCAACAAATGACTATCAATCTATAATATATATAAATATATTAATATGATATAGTTATTAATATATGTAACTTAGGATGGTTTGTGGCACCTGGTAAGTACTCAATGAATGTATCTGAGTCACACTCCTATATCTGAGTGTTTCACCTCTTGCTACTGGCAAGCTTTCTAGTTTAGAAGCAGTAGTTTAGGAACGCCTGGGTGGCTCAGTTGGCCTTCGGCTCAGGTCATGATCCCAGGGTCCTGGGATTGACTCCCGCATCAGGCTCCCTGCCCAGCGGGAAGCCTGCTTCTCCCTCTCCCACTCACTCTGCTTGTGTTCCCTCTCTCGTTCTCTCTCTCTAATAAATAAAATATATTTTTTTTAAAAAGTTAAAAAAAAAAAAAGCAGTAGCTATGATTGCAGCTGATGTATTCCAACAATTTTTGGCAGCATTCCTGAGGAAAGAAAAGAATTGGAGAAAAGGCCAGCAGTGAGGACATCTACAAGCCCTTGAGATTGGTGAGCTCACCACATGAAGATGGACACTATTAGCCATTACAAGCTCTCCCATGAAGGGCTTCTATCCCCCACCCAACAGCCACTGTCTGAGGCTGGGATAAGAAGAAGGCGCAAACACCAAAAGGAAAAGCTAGTAGTTTATATAGATAGATATATAGATATATAGATATTGATATATATTGTGTTTACATAGTCCACAAGTTAAATGCAGGTATCCATAAGAAGAGCATTAACAATAAAAATACAATCTGTGTGTAGCCAAGTACAGAGACTTAAAATGGTAAAACAGCAAAAAGGATCTCACAAAAGTACAAATATACAGTACAAATTGATTTATTTAAAACAGTTACAAAAAAGCACAACAAAATAGAGATTATCCTTAGAATTATTAATGCTTTGTTAAAGATCAGGTAGGATTAGAGGGTAAGAAATGGTACTGGGTGGGGGGAGCACCTGACTAGTTCTAAGGCTTTAGATACAATGCAGTTGATTACATATTAATTCAGCCATTACATACTGGGGATAGTAGTTGGGGGATCAGTAATTTATCTACAGGGAACTCCTACACAAATCAGATCCATCCAGACCTCCCCAGTGCAGTCCTTCTTTACTCCTCAGGACCCTAAAGCCACCCGATGACAACATTCCCACTTTCCTTTCTCCACCCCATTCCCTATCCATATATTCTTCCCTCCCCTAAGGTGCTGTGCAAGCTGAGAGCAGTCTGCTCTCTGCAGCTGGAACATATACTGTTTTGGCTACAGGGATCCTGTGTGTGACTAGGAAGGTTGTAGGGGACAGCCTTATTTTAATACTTCAAGTTTGCCACGAGTACAGTCAGTCTCTTCCCAGCACAATCCATATTCTTTTGAGTGTGAGTATCAAGCAAATGAGGGATGAACCCTGCCTTCAGCAATACCAGCAACGCACGAACCACTCACAGCTCACAACTACGTGCAAACTCCCCGTCCAGGGAGCGCGCGTAAAACCACGGTATCCCCAGCTCACTCCGTGAAGAACCTCAGTCCCCGTGACAGTCATAAAGACAGAAACAAATGCTTGCAAGTTTGACAATAGGTAAAGGCACATGGGCTGCTGTCATACACACTGCAGACAGGAACCCAATTTGAGGCCATCTTCACTGCTGGGCATTTGCAGTAGAATGGCTTTGGGATCACACAGACTTTGAGTTTGCAACCTACCGGGGGAGGATCTAGGCTTAACAGAAGAACTAATAAAGAAACCTTAGTGTGAAAAGTGCATTTATTACTACTGTTCCTGCTGGGGAGGCTCAGCAGGGCAAACCGCACCACCTCTCCTCCTTCCACCCCAGGCACTGTGCATAGTCTGCAGGTAAGGAGAGAGTGCAGTCGACTCTAGCATCTCGAGGGCCAGCGTCATCCGAGGCCCAGATCAGGTTTCTGGCCCAAAGATGGACCCAAGAGTTGAAAGAGCAACTGATAGCTGCAAAGACCCAGATGCTTATTTTATTATTGCATAATGTGGGAAGCCCTCCCGAGCCCAGGGAAGCTGGACGGTGAAGGCTTCCCAGCAAAGGGCTAATAGGTTCCTGGTCAACATCCAACCTTGCACAGTCCAGCTCTTCAACTGTAGTGTACACTTCTTCCCATCTGGAAAGTATTGTAGCTTCGGTGTGGTTTAGTAAACTTAGCCCTAGGAGGCCAGCAATCTCCCTAAAACTTGGCCTCTACCCAATTTACTTGCTCTTAAGACTGTGACCTCATCTCCATGGCCAGTTCAGTTAATCAGGTATCTTTACTCCAAAGGACCCAGGCCCTTTCCCAGTCAGCTCATGTCCACCCTTCATCTCCAATATGATCATTCAACTCTCCAATGTGCCTGCATGTTGCAGGTTTAAATCATACCACCACCCTGTTTCTCTCCTATGATGTCCACTGGTAAAAATAAAACTAAACCCCACCAAGGGGCTATTTCGGTCAAACTTCAAACCCTCTTCAGTCCCAGAATCCATGTAACTGGAGCCAGATGACCCTCACCCTACCATGCTGACAAAGGCCCTAGCCCAGTTCCCCATCATTTATTTTTAAAAACAGGATTTAAGATACCACAAAGGAAAGTTAATACATAGAAAACGCCCACTAATAAGACCTGTTTGCTTCTCCCTCAAGACAATCAGGTGTTTGGAGCCTAAGGACTCCCGACAAGCACTGAAGCCACATCCCTTTGGATTCACCAGCCCACCAGCAGCATTTCATACTATCCCTATTCAATATGACTTTGCTATAAAGTAACACTTGCACAGTTAAGAATGGACAGGAAGCCTGGATTTCCTCTATATGGCCAGACATGGAAGGAGAGGGAACTATAAAGGGTAGCAGGCAGGACAGTGAGCAGACAGCAGCAGTGGCAAAGCAGCACAAGAGCAAAGCCCTTGGTGTTATGACCAACTGGGACCAAGACTGTAGAAGGGTCAGTCCAGATCTGCTAGGGCCCCTCCCACTGGGTGTTAAGTATTCAGCTCTGAATTCCCTTCCCCCATGCCACCACCCTCCATGCCTCCCCCCAACCATGTGCACCATGTACATCTTGATAGGAACAATGACCCAAGACTTGGACGTATTACCCATCCTTTACGTGATCTCTACTCCCCAAGTGATACGGGTATTCCTGGTCAGTCCGGGAATTTCGCTTTCTCTTCCTCAATTCTGGGAATTTCCTACCACTGACAAGGGAGTGGCTCTGGCCTTCTTCAAATGCCCATTTCCCAAAAAGCTGACAGCTTCCCACTAAAATGTTCACTATCTCAAAACCACTCGTAGGTCTCTTGCCAACTTATGAAGTTCCCTAAGGAAGAACAGACTACCACGGGCTCCTCTTAGTTCTCATACCTGAAAGAAAAGACCGAACCGGAGGGAGAAGATAAGCGGAATGCCACAGCTCTGACCAAGATTTAGAGCACAGACTTCTTTTCCTGGGAGCCCATACTTTACAAAAGACACCTCTGTAGCTTAGCAAATCGAGTATTAAGATGTTACATACACATGGCATGGTACTAGAAGAGTTGGTGATACTCCTTCACCGGCAAGAGACAGAAGGGGAACAGCAGCAGAAAGGTCAGGGCCCAACCTGCCAATGTGCACAAGATGTTCTCTTCCCAGGATTAAGTGGAAGTTACCAGGCTGAAAAGTGGAGGGTCACTTGGTTTAAACTACTGTCTGGTTGGACATGGGTTTGCTCCCATCAGGAGGAAGCTCAACTGGTGTCCTTGGTGGACAATTCTTGAGTACACACTGTGTGCATGCCACTGTATCCAGTCGGTGGGCCTTCCTATGAGGGAGATTTCTGAGAAACCCGTGCAAACAACAATCCCTAGGAATGAGCTGATCACAGAACAGGCAGAGATGAGGTCTTCTCCCAGGGCTATTGTCTGAGAGGATTCCTCAAAGACTTAGCCCCACAGGCCCCCTCGGTAGGAAACAAGCCAGAGAAAGCAGCATTCAGAGAAAATGGGGGACAGAGCAGGGAAAGGTGAGGATCCCAAACGCATACAAGGTTGAGTGTTCACCGGAGTTGGTGTTTGGTTCGGAGGTGACCCAGAGACTGAAGTACTCACAGTCAGGTCAGCAGCTTCCTTTGGATGGGCCTCTGAAACCTGACTGACTGCTCTCTAGGAATGAAACAGTGGTGTGTAGGGCTTGTAGCAAACAAGCCAGTCTCAGTCACTTTGTTCCCCCAGGAGAACAACCTTTAGCACCTGAACACTAAGAATGACTCCATTCTCAGAACTCCCCCTCCCCCCAGGAGGTAGGTAAGATTATTTATCCCCATTTGGCAGCTGGGGAGGAAGTGAAAGAGCGAGAGGTCACAAGACTTGCCTGAAGTCCTTGACAGAGTAGAGATCAGACCTCAGAGGTTTGGGACTCCTGATGACAGGCAAGGCCTCGGCTAGTCCATGTACATTTCTGAACGAAATGCCAGGATCATACACTGAGAGAAGCCTCATCAGAGAGCGGGGTGGACGATACCCTGAGTTGCTTCAAGAGTCTAAAGACCCCTGAAAAACAAACAAAAAACCCACCCACCCACCTGAAGGCTGGTGGGGGAGCCTAATTCTCAATACCCAGTGGAAACCCACAGTCCAAGCTGATGCTAAAAGTTGTGAAGAAAACGTGGACTTTAGACACAAGGGGGGGCAAATGCAACTAAGACTGAGAATGCTCTTTGCAGAGGAACGCTCCACCACAAAATGAGACCTAGGAGACTTCAGGTACTGGAAACTTATCAAGACTATCCCAGAACCTTAGAGATGGCTGTGGGAGGGGCTGGCTCGGAGAAGCCTGAATGCTGACAGAAGGGGGAATAAGATGGGAGGGGCTGTGTAAAAACACCAGGATGCCCACTGCCCAGCCAGGGGTATTTGCCCTGACCCAGGGCACAGTTCCCTTCTTGTTTCTCTACCAAGCTGTTCAGCTGCAGAAGAGGAGGGGACATGATTATGAGTTTTGAAAAACAGGGAATATAACTGAAGAGGAAATCAAAGAGACCCCCTCCACTCCAAACACTAGAGGTCTTGGTCAGAGTGGACAAAAACAATTTTGCAGAAGGGGAAAGGCAGTGCAGCTACAAATCGGGCCCAGGTCAAGACACCATGCAGAGGACAGGGCGGCAGAAGGGCTGGGGCAGCGCAGGCACTTAGGCACAACATAGACAGAGGAGGAGAGTAGGGGACTGGGGACAAAGGTCCACTGGTTCTTTCAAAAGTCACCATTACCAACTAGAAATTCAGTACGATTTCGAAGTAGGTCTGGCATGCTGGGTACAAGGAGCTCTGCTAGGTCAGCTACCTTTCCAGAAGCCCTGCCTAGAGCCCGGTCACCTGGCCATCAGGTCTTTCTCCCAAAGTCCCCTAACTGGGTCCCTGCCAAAGCAGTACTTCACTCTGAACCCTGGAGGGGCTCCTCTTTCTTCTGGTGCTAGAAGCCTTGTGGGAGGAACGGTGGGGGAATGGAAAGGGCTAAAGCACAGGATCAAGCCGAGTCCCGCAGACGAGTGCTCCTCCCCCACAAACCCACAGACATCTGTAACAAAATCACCCTTTAAAGTGCACAGCTCTCGAAAGAAGAGTTCTGGGTGGGAACCCTCTTAATCCCGATCATGGGGCTTCCTCCCCTCCCACCACAAAAAAAGGAAAAAAACTTCAGACAGTTGAACTGCTACTATAAGCTGTGGATCATCATTTTTGGCTCTTTCTTTGCTCCCTCCCTCTGCCACCTGCCCCCAAAGCCCGACCTTCCCCTTGCAGGAGCTAGGGATGAGGAGGAAAGAACAGGGAGGCCCTGATATTTGGAATGTTTCTTATCCTGTGTGCACCCCCCATCTTTCCTTAGCTCAGGCCTGCTGCTCCCCATCACAGCACCCTCTGGGGCTGCCCTGAAAGGATGCCATGGGGTAATGAGCAACAGACCCTGCCTTGGGAGGCTGCCTTCAATGCCTCCTCTTTCCCCCCCAATCTCACTGCCAAGAGAGCCATTCCCTGCTCGGCATGTGCAAATCCTCTGCCTGCTCACGCTGAGGCCCAGCTCTGGGGTAAAGCCCCAGTCCTGGTCTGGGAGAGAGGTTCATTTTCCTGCATTGGAACGCCCTTCGATGGACAGCTTTACCTCCTGCGGAATGAAAGAGGGACGGAGCAGTGCAGCCCGCGCCTCCTCCCCTTGCATGCTGTATCTTTGGAAGCTTGGGGCTGGCCAGCAGGCCTGAGCACCAGGCTCCGGCTGTGAGGGCTCTACCATTTGGGGGCCCTCACCTGGCGGCTGGCTCTTCCCCTCACTGTCACATTGCTCTCTGGGTCCCAAGACTGTCCTCTCAGGCCTTTCTCGGGGGGGACCCAGCTGGCCTGGGGGAGCACAGCTAGCCTGAGAAACTGAGTTACTGTTCAAGCTCTGTAAACTGATAGAGATGCAGACATCTCCCACCTGCAGCCGATGGCAGGGCAAAGAGAAGAGCTGTGCAGTCCGCCCAGGGCTGCAGGACGACCAGCCCTGGCCATACACAAAGAAGGGGTGCTCGGGGGGCACCTCGATGCTCACTTTGCTCTGCTGCTCACCAACCACAAAATGCAGCATGACAAATCCAGGCCACTGGCTCTCCTGAATGTCCACGACCGTGCTAGAGTCAATCTTCAGCCCCCCACTCACTTCGGCACTGCGCACAAAGTCCTGGGTCTGGAGGTCCTCCACCCGCTTCAGCTCCCCTGTAGCCAGCTGGATGATGGCGCCTTTCATGAAATGGGAGGGCAAGTGGGAGGAGGTAATGGGGGGTGGCGTTGGCTCCTTATCTGGGAAGGTGGCTCTGGCCTGCATGTCCAAACTTGATGCCACCAGGATCTCCGAGCCCACGGGCAGCAGACCTGGGTCAGTTCCAGTGGGCACCAGGTTGCCATTGGCTACAACCATTGCTTTGGGTAAAGGTCTATGTTTCACGGGTTCTTGATGGGATTGAGGGTAAAACCCTCGGGCCTGATTTTTCTCGGCCATCTCTGCTGGGTTCCTGGCTGACCCTCGCCCCTCACCCTGATGGTCAGGGGTATGATGCGACAAGTTGAGGGGGCTGGGCTCATCCTTCCTCTGAGCTGTCACCACACGATAGTCCTGAGAAGCTAAAGTGCCAACCACCCGCTGGACCTCGAGGTCGGTGTCTGGGGTCCCTCGGTGTGTCGGCACTGCCACCTCCACCCGTGCAGTCTGAGAACCTGAAAACAACTGTCCATCCACCACACATTCTACCACTGGCATCAGTCCCTGGCCTTCACTCTTGCTGTTGGGGGAGTCGAGGGCTTCGCTTTCCCGTCTTACTAAATTTCGTTCTCGCTGTCTCTGTCCGTTGGCAGCGGCTGCTTCCAGAGCAGACTGGCCCTCCTGAGGGGTAAGAAGCGGGCTGGCACCTGCTGGAGGGGTTTCATGCAAAGTGTACCCAGCAGGTAGCCTGGACATCTGATAATAAATGGGCATCCGGCCTGGAGCAAGGTCCAGTGGCTGAGTACTCGAGTGATGGGGCAACTGCCCAGGTGGGGAGGTGGCAGAAGGGGCTTTGCTGAATGAGTGGGCTGGGGATGAAGCCTGGGGAGGCGGAGTGGCTCCTTCTGCCAGGAGTGAGGCATATGGCACAAAGTGTGGAAGGTGAGAAGTGGCGAGGTTGGCAGAAGGAGAAAGGAGGGGACCTGGTAGGAAATTAGGTGGCACGGCATAGGGAAGGCTATAAGGAGACCCGATAAACTGCAGAGAGGTGGACGGGAGTTGAGCATAGTGGATTGGGGGATAATGGATTCCTGGATGTTGAATCAGTGAAGACGCTACATTAAATGTGGGGGGCAAAGGGCTCATGTTCACCACAGATGGGAGGCCAGTTGGGGAGAAGGTAGCAGGTGGCACAGCCACCTTATACAGCATACCATACTGGTCCACCGTCAGACCAGTGATGGCCTCAGCTCCATCACCCCCCAGACTGACTCTGGCTCCTGCCTGGCTCTGCCCGGCCACCACAACCCCTCGGGACCATTCAGAGGCATCACTGGAGGGTGTGTGGTTAGTTGAGCAGCTGGTAGTTCTCCCCATATCCTCGCTGGTCACGGGGAGGTCTCGTTTCTTTGGTGGAAGGCATTCCTGACTCCTCTCATGAACAGGTTTCATATTGCTTTATGGTGTTCCTGGAGCCTGGAAGGGGTCGGCTTGCTCCTTGGGGCATCAGAAGGGGCTTCTCTGTGGCTCCCCTGCACCCCTCTCTGCTGCTGGCTGGGGCGCCCACATCTGCTAGGGAACAAATCAGAAGCAAAGAAAAGTAACCTAGGGGCGAACCAAGTCAAAAGAAGTAGCAGAAACTGTGCCCACAGAGGAAGGTGTAACGAAGGGGACTGTGGGAAAAAAAGGCACAATAAAGGGTGCTACCCTCCCCTCATTCATCCAGCCCAGGACATGAAAGAAACAGCCAGGGAAACCACAGAGAGCTACAGGAACAAACATTCAACAATTCGTAAACAACCTGTGAGCTCTACAACCCCAGAGAGACCAACAGCTTCATGATCAGGTGTGCCACTGATGGGGACCTTGACTCTTCCCAGCCTTCTCCCCAAAGAGATTTGACCACATGGTTGTTGCCACTGGTTCTTTTTCCTAAGCTTTCTCCTTTTGTCACCAAAGATTACCATGCTATCTCCTTTCCAACGTATGACCTCAACCTCACTTCCTTTCCCCAGCCCAGTTTGGGTTATGATCTCACCTTTCCCCATCCCCCCATGCGAGGCCTGGTTAAACTCTCATCCTCCTTTGCCTCATATCACCACTACCTCAAAGACCCAAGTGCCAATGGAAAAAAAAGCATCTTCTGTGCTCCATGAAATACTACATTCAAACTTGGGCCCTATGGAAAGTGATTGTACTAGTGTGTTCTATAATGTATTTGTTTCTGCTCTTCCCTAAACAGCAACAAAAGTCTTCTGATCACATATAGACTTCCTCCCCCCGCCCAAGTCTGGAAAAACTTCTTTCTTCTCAGTAACCACCTTCAGTGTACTTTCTTCATTCATTCTCTTTTTTCCTGTGTGTTTTCTTTTGCCAATGGCTCTTTTTCCACTGTAGGTCTGCTCTAGGCACCACTTCCTAAATTCTTCTCCCATTCCTCCAAACCTGTCTAGGTCTCTATTATTCATAAGTTCTCTCCCCCTTTTCTCTTGCTGTCACCTTTCATACATGCGTTTGTCCCTGGTCATAAAGTACCCTTTTGGTCCAAACATTTCAATGCATGAACTTTGTCACCTATTTCTTCCAATCAAGGCTCCAGTTCTTTAGATCTGGATGTTATACTGCTCTGTTTTTCCACTGATGAATCCCAGTGTTTCTTCTGGCAACAAGGTATCCAAATTTCCCTCTATTACCTGAGCTTCCAGTAGTGCCTCTGAGCAGCTGTAGTAAGAAGCAGTGTCCTCCCCGCTGCCTTGGGAGCCTAGAAGACAGAAATAGGAATAACGTAAGCAGGAGTCCAGCCTCTCGCTTCCCCAGGGTCATCAATGTAATTCTAAAGCCACAAAAACATTAAAGTCCATGAGTCCTTGCCTCATGCTCTGCTCCAGAGGTAACAGCACAGTTATCAAGTTTCTAGGCATTTGAATAGAGAAAAAGCTATCTGTTAAGATCTAATTTGTGGAAGGACATCCCTGAAAATATTTTTTCAAGGTGTGTCAAGTTTCACTGTTTTCCTGAATGTTTTATTCTTCATTCTCTACCTGTACTTATTCCCCAAAGGTTAAATATACCACCAATCCCAATTTCAGGTAAATATGCAACTAAAAATGTAAGATTCAACATTATTCCCATGTGAACAACGGGAAGCTGGAAAAATCAACTGTGTGGATTTCACCTTTATTCAGGGCTGATGAAAACACAGATGTCAGGGCGCCTGGTTGGGTTCAGTCGTTAAGCATCTGCCTTCAACTCAGGTCATGATCCCAGAACCCTGGGATCAAGCCCCACATCGGGCTCCCGGCTCAACAGGAAGCCTGCTTCTCCCTCTCCCACTCCCCCTGCTTGTATTCCCTCTCTCACTGTCTCTCTCTGTGAAATAAATAAATAAAATTTTCACTGAAAAATACAGATGTGAAGGTTATTTAAATGAAAAAAGTGCCACTAGAGGAAAAAGAACACTTATTTATGTTTCTGGGGCAGAAAAAGAGGTCAAGGGGGAGTCACTCAAGGGGAAGCCTTATTAACAGATTTTCAGGATAAAAGAAATAGGATCCTGTGTGTGAGTAAAATTTTCTGAGTGACAACTTTGTACCAAGTGTTGAATCAGGTGTGACAGAAAATGCAAACATTGCCTGAGTCCTGGTAGCTATTAACAATGGGGAAAAAAGTTCACATTAAAGTATCAGTATCTGAATCTACACATGCCAGTAACATCAAGCACTGAAGAAAAGAGCCTTAATCTCTGACAACAGATAAAGCAGTACTGACCAGTACTCTGAGAAACTATCCATTGTTCTGTCCAAGTCCTACAGAACTGCAAGCCTCTAACCAATCTGAAGCAACATTTATCTCTTAAGACTGACAAGGTGTGTATGTACAAGAAAAGGTGATGAGATAGGAAAACAAGGGGGAAAGAATTCTCAGTTCCATAAACACAAATTACACAGTGGGAGCAGTTCCAGTAATCGAAAAAACAATTAGCTTTCTCCCTCATTCGCAGCAGAAATTGGGGTCACATCTCCAATCCTGAATGATCTTTGCTTCCTGCAATTAAAACCTTAAGGGAAACCTGCCTCTAGGTTAGCCAAACACGGCCGAATAAAAAAGGCAAGAGGTCTGAAGGAATGACAACAAAGAGCCAAGTCTGTGCACCAGGTTCCAAGAACGCAAAACACATTTCGGAATCTGAAACCTCGGCCTCAGGAGGGGCTTGATGAAGACTTCTCAGAAGGAAGATGCAGCTTGTGACCCCAACCGAGCTGGCGGGGAAGGGAGTCTGTTCCGGTGAGCTGCCAACGCTGCTAGTGAGAGCCCAGAATCAAGAAAATGAACCCAAAATTCGGTGAGGGCGAGAAGTACGCCCGCCAGAAATGAGTGGAGCTTGGAAGAGACTATGGGTTATGGCTTCCCGTGATCCTGCAATCCTTGCTTCAACAAGGGTAGGGCCCGAAATCGGGAATTTAACGTTTAGGGGTGGGGAGTCGATCCTTGAAGCAGAGGAATAGGGACAAGGCCCCGCAGGCGATGCTTCCTTGTTTGGGGGCCCCTTCTCGCCCCCAAAGACTCGGACACCCCGGCCCGCGGGGACACAGCCGCGGGGGTGCCGGGGCCTGAGGCCGCCTTCTGGGCCGGGCCGGAGAAAAGCGCGCGGGACTCGAGGCGCGGCCTCTTTTGCTTTCCCGGTCCGCGGTTCTCGGGCCCCGGTCCGGCGGGGCAGTGGGCTCCAGGGGCCACTTCCTCCTAAGCACCGAGCCCAGGCCTGCTTGGCCTCAGTGAGGCCGGCCCAGCGGCCCCCAGGTCCGGAGACACTCACCGGCCCATCTCACGGCGCTCTTCGGGCTCCTCCCGCTCGTCCCGGAGCCGCCGCGACCGCGGCCGCCGCCATCCCCGGCCCCGGAGCCGCCCCACACCCAGCGGCCCCCCCAGCCGGGCGCCCGGAGATGGCGTCAAGTGCGTTCCGCCCCCGTCGCTGGAAGATGGCGTCACGGCCCAGGCCCAAGAGCGACGCCCAGGAGTCCCTGGGAAGGGAGGGAGACGGCCCCTAGTCCCTCGCCCCTCGGCCCCAGCGCCCCCGTGGTAGGAAAACGGGCTCCTCCCCGCGGGAAACAGGGTCACGTGAAGAAGGTTGGGGCGTCTCTCTCGCCCTGACCCCACCATGACCCCTGCATTCTCTCTATGCCAGTAAATTCTGGGGGTTCCCAAACAGCCTTGGGGCGTGGCCAGCTGCGACCCTCATTTCCTGGACTTTCGAGGCCTGACAGGTGAAGCCTCCTCCTGGGAACTTCGGGGAACCCCAAGGGACCCCTGTCCAGGAGAGTAAAAAGATGCCCCTGGAGACCCAGAGTGGAGATGGGGGAGCTCTTTGAGTTGAGAAATGGCTTTGACAGGGATGAGAATGGACGGACGGGATCCAGGATCTAGGAGGTGTACCAAGTAGTGGGAACTTGAGAGGTGATAGGAGGGGGTTCAGTACAGTGGGAAGAGGACTTGACTACTCGGTCAAATACTAGGTCACCATTCATTGCTAATTAACGAGTCACCTTCATAGTAACATGAACATCTGATTAACAATAAGTGAACAAGTGAACACCAGTCAAATTCGTGGTTTGGTTGAAACCATGTAAAAAAAAGTTCAGCATACAGACAGAAACAAACTAAACTGAGGAAAAAGTAAGTTTAACTATCAGAGAGATTGGATCTGAGTGGGGTTTTTCCCCTTTCAATTTCTGCAAACTCTGTTCACTAAATAACAATTGATTTTTGTTTGATTTTAAAGATACTGACTGGGCTCTGGTCCCTGCTCTGTAGCTATTGGACCTTAGGAAAATCGTTTTACTACTTTAGACTTAGGTTTCTGCTTCTTGCAAAATGAAGAGCTTAAATTAGATGAAGGGATAGGAGTAAAATGTAGATAAAAAGAGCTCTTTATAACCATTTTAAGTGAAAATATAAGCAAATACGTACAGTATGAAATCATGTATTTAATGAAAAGACATTTATGTATTGTACAGAAAAGGAATGGAAGGCTATGTAACAGCTAGTTAACACTGGTTATCTCTGGAGAGGAAAGTAGCATTGATTAGTGACCAAAAGATACAAAAGGGACTTATTGTTTGGATTTTGTATGAAAATATTACATTAGAAATATTAAGATGAGTAACTTAAAATACAAGTAAAGTTTATGTTTTCTAAGATTCTTTCTAGGGTATCAATAGACCTCAATTTTGGTATTTTCTCACCTGGATGGGCACAAATATCATCAAAATCATTGAATGCTGCCACACACATGACTTACACCAGTGGGTGAAACACTGAAGCTACTGATCTATAACCACCTAATTAGTATTAGTCATGACAGTCATCTTCTCCCTCAGTTTGGCCAAGAAGGAAGTCTTGTGGTTACTCAGTGATTCCGTTTTAGCACTAACTGGAATCTGGCTTCTAATTCATTAATTAGCTCACCAAATTTGCATTAAAACTACCAAGATTTTTTTTTTTAAAAAACTGCCAGGATAGACAAGCCTATACTATCAATCTATTTATTTAATTTTAAAGATTTTATTTATTTATTTGCAGAGAGAGAGAGAGCACAAGCAGGGGGAGGAGGAAAGGAGGAAGCAGGCTCCCCGCTGAGCAGGGAGCTGATATAGAACTTAATCCCAGGACCCTGGGACCATGATGCTTAACCGACTGAGCTATCCGGGCGCCCCTTTGCTCTTTTTTTTTTTTTTAAATCGGAGAGATATACATACTGCTTGCTGTCTTTGCCAATTGTTTCCATATCGATAAATTCAAATCAATATAAAGATAGAGATAGAGACCCTTTGGATCATCCAGGTGTATTCAAGGATAACCATTTCCTCCTAGATTAAGGTATACTCTCAGAGAGTTAGTGTTTCAGACATAATTGAGAGAGCAGACACAGGTAGATGCAAGCAAAAATAATTTTTTGGCTACCAGCCATTAACATGATTACATAGCGCAAAGGCATGTTTGTTTTAAAGACAAAACCAACAAACAAAAAAACCCCAAAAAACAGAATGTTCTGATTGGTGAGACACAGGTGATTCCTGGTTTGGTGTGGCAGTCCCAAAAGAGTGGGTCATATCTCTGCTGTATTCTCTTCTAGAACTCTACTCCAAGCAATCTTCATGTCTTTGTACATATTGACGGTAGGAAGCTCCATAGTGACAGTTTGATAGGAGTATTAGTAATAAGTAAACTAACATGTTTTTAGATTTAAGACGCTAAAATAACAAAAAAAATTCCCTCATTTCCCCCATAATCTGTATCGTTCTCTGGAATCTGGATAATTCCCTATATAAGTTATTTATAGTAAGTAAACTCAGGGTCTTATTCACTGTAACTGACTCAATGAATAGTAATTGAATGAAATTTCACAAATATATCTCAAACTGCAAGACTCTCCATGCTGGTTTTTTTGCTCCCATTTCCTCATTTCTACCCTTACCTGGTTTTGCCTATTTGTTACCTGTTTTCAGTCTCTGTCATCTGAAAGTCCTTCATTTTCTTTCGCCAAATTTGTTTGTTTAATTTGCACAGAGTTTTACAAACTGATGTAGTGAAAGGAGGTTTGTTGTTTGTTTTTGTTTTTGTTTTCATTAAAAAAACATTTCCCTGCTCCATAAAAGGAGATTTTTAAAGGTATTTGAGACATTTGGGAACTGAAAAAGTTACAACTCAATCTGTTTTGTCTACCTCTGCTCTTTCCTTGGATTCCCACTGAATTCCTTTGATGTATGTAGAATGAATTTGTGCGATGGGAGATTTTTAGCTACTCTGTTGAGAGGGAAACAACAATGACCACAAAACCCTGCTGGGCTGGTTCTTCTTCTCCCTAAACAGGCCCAAGTTTCAGACCAGCTCTCTGTGTTGCCTAGTTCCTCATTGGTGATTTTTCTACACCTGTCGTACAGGCAGGGCCTATTCAGACAACTACCCCAACTCTTTTTCAATGTTATGGGATCAAACCAGAGAGAAGAGCTGGTAACTTGGGAAACTATGTGTGTCATAACAAGAGAAATAGGTGGTTTTTTCATACTGTCAGTCTCTTCACTTGTATTGCTCAGCATGTAAATGTGTCATTGTAGGGAAGAACTTTATCTTTGAATTCGGATGGCAGAAACAACAATCTCAAGTGTAGGTTGAAGTTCTAGAAATACTTGGCAGATTTAGCTTTCCCAATACATGTGTTGGTGCCTGGTATTAGATGGTTTTTCAAAAGCTTTTCTAGATGCCCAAATGTAGAAATGTGCCATTTTCAAGCTTCTGTTTTGTCTACTTCTCTGAACAATGCCGTGTCCTTGTTTCCACATGCTTTTAATGTTATATACCCTCTCCAGATTCCAGTGGGGATTTCCCTTTCGAATTCATTAATATTTTATTTACAAGGAGGTCTTGGAATTTCTCTGTAAGTGACTAATACATCCTTTGGGGAAGGGAATCTTGATCTGCTGTTTGCTTCCTCAGACACTTGCCAAAGGCTTTCATTTTTATCAGAAACTTCCTGCACAACTCTGAAAAGTTGCAGTCAGAACACTGACAATTGAAATAAACCAAAAGAAACCTAACCCTTACTTGGATTGTAGGAGTCCTATCTGGGGAGTTGGGCCACAGAGAAGGCGTACATTTAGACCATTGCTGAGCAGACAGGAATTCCTTACAGGGGCCTACTGAACAAATAAAATAGATGTGGAAAAATTAATGCCCCATGACACTGATAACTCTTCCTCTGTGAAACTGGCTCGGCAAGGTGATTTGTGAGCTGCTGTGCCTTGTGGTGGAATCATGTTCATCTCTGAACATGAACATCTTCCAAGGCAATCGCCCTTCAGGTCAACTTTCGACTGGTTGTCAGTAGCCTGAAACTCCTGGAAAAAAGGAAAAGTGAGTGAACAGTTTAGACAGCACAACAAGCTGCTTCTCATCACTGAGCACTGCCCTCCCACACCCCATAGATCTCCTGAGATGTTACTTAGCAATTCTGGAATTCAAAGGAATGTGGCTGACTTGTGGGAATGATGATTATAGTGATCAAATCACTTAAAAGTTTGCAAAGACTGTTCTGTATCTTGATGGTATCGGTACCAGTATTTTAGTTTTGCAAGATGTAATCCCTGCATGAAACTAAGTAAAGGGTACTCTGGATCTTTATTACTACTCACAAACTGCACGTGAATCTACGATGATCGCAAAACAAGAAGTTTAATTTAAGAAAAATTTTCCAAAGATTTCAAATGTAAGACAATGTCCAGAATCCTGGACTCTTCTTCATCAAAGTAGAGAACTTTATCTAGTCAAGCCTTTTCAAATGTGCAGGTGCTATTAAGTTTGAGCTGAAGGGGAAATTTTTCTGGAAAGGCTTCCTTATGTCTTTTTAACACGCCAAAAAAGAAAGAAAGAAAGCCATTTCTTCTGTCAGGTGACAGCTCAAGTAGTGTTAGACCCATGAGCTGGGGTAGTAGCTGACAAGTGTTGTCTTTTTTCTTTGAATCCAACTTATTTTCTGTTGCCTCTTGTTCTTTCCTCATTTCAATGGGTCACATGAACCGTTAACCCCTCAAAAAACTGAAAAAACAAAACAAAACGCAAAAACGATGATCTCTGATTATGAGGAAGGTTCAGGTAAAACAAGTTTTGCCTGTGCATGGAATTTTCTGAGTGCTCCTTAAATAGCACTATTTACTATTGAATTAGTCATCTGTTGGTGGAGAGGCAGCTGTTCCTTAAACTTCCAGGTTGATTTTTGGGCATTCTTGAGACAATAGGGGCCTAAGAAAAATACCTTAAACAAAGAAAATTTAGGCAAGCCCAGTGGTACCCATCATTGTTACTATGAACCATGATGATGACATTGGTGGTATACACAGAACTTGTGAATTTTCAACTGCATGCCCGTGTGTCCTCTTATTTGATCCTGGCAATTCAGTGACACATATAATTATCCAAATAAATTATATCTTTTTTTTACAAATGATGTGTAAACTTGGAGTGCTGGAGTGATTTGAGGTAAATAAAGCAAATTAGCCCTGTCTTACCTAAACTTAGTACTCTTTAGAGGGAGACAGTTATCTTGACTTTCTATCACCCCAGGGTTCTATTTTTTTCTTTTTTTTTTTTAAGATTTTATTTATTTATTTGACAGAGAGAGAGAGGTCACAAGTAGGCAGAGAGGCAGAGAGAGAGAGGGGAAGCAGGCTCCCTGCTGAGCAGAGAGCCCAATCCTGGGCTCAATCCCAGGACCCTGGATCATGACCTGAGCGGAAGGCAGAGGCTTTAACCCACTGAGCCACCCAGGCGCCCTCCAGGGTTCTATTTTTAACATAAACTATAACCTGGGCACACAATAAGTGTTTGCCAGTATTAGTAGTGGTGTAACAACAATTCAGTATTTAACTGAAACAAGTCCAGTTCTACTGTAATTTCTTTTCCCTGTGACATCTAAAGCAGAGAACAGTTTCCTACTTTGGACACGGCTAAACAGACTTTCAAGCCCTGAGCTTTGTGTTTATTTCAGATTCAAAGTAGTCTCATGTCAAGATTTGCTTGCAATGACAGAGTAGCTCTGTTCCTGATTAGAAGGTGAGCATGATTTGGTGAACAGATGGGTTACATAGTTTGGAGGCTCAGGTTTTCCCAATTTGTGAAATGCCTGTTTCCCCAGGCTCAGTCATCAGTTGATAAAACAAGGTGGTAAGACTTATCTCAGTGGATTGGCCTGGGACAGGTTCCATTTGTTACCTCCCCAGCATGACTCAACTTGTTCATTTTTTTGGCATACTGTGGTGAAAAAGCACAGGAACTTGCAGTTTGAAGATTTGGCCTTGTTCTAATTCAGTCACTCCTAAGCATGTGACCACTGGCAAGCCATTTAACCTCTCAGTATCTCAGTTTTCTCAGCTGTAAAATGCAAATAACAATATGAGCCTCACACAAGTGCACAAGTGTTGCAGGGGTCAAATGGAACTGTATATATGAAAGCAGTTTCTTTTTATTTTATTTTTTTAAGATTTAATTTTTAAGTAATCTTTACACCTAACATGGGGCTTGAACCCACAAACCTGGGATCAGGAGTTGTATGATCCACCAACTGACCCAGCCAGGTGTCCCTGAGGACAGTTTATTATTTTTTTTATAATTTTTTAAAAAGTATATTCATTTATTTTTCAGAGAGAGAGCACAACAGCGGGAATGGCAGGCAGAGGGAGTAGTAAGCTCCCCATTCAGCAAGGAACCTGATGTAGGGCTCGATCCCAGGACCCTGGGATCATGACTTGAGCTGAAGGCAGACGCCCAACCGACTGAGCAACCCAGGTATCCTGAGGACAGTTTTTTAAATGCAAAGCACTTCATGCATCTTCTTTTTTAAATAACCTTTTTATTATGGGGGGTGTCTGGGCGGTTCAGTCAGTTAAGCGTCTTTCTTTAGCTAAGGTCATGATCTCAGGGTCCTGGGATTGAGCCCCACCTGAGACTCTGCGCTCAGTGGGGAATCTGCTTGTCCCTTTACCCCATCCCCACTCTTTCTCTCTCTCTCAAATAAATAAAATCTTTAAATAATCTTTTTATTACAAAAATAATAATTGTTCACTGTGGGACATTTTAGAAAAGCAGGACAAGCTGAAAGGATAAAACAAAGACCACTCATCAAAGCACCCCCTAGAGCAATAGGCCTTCAACAGGTGTCAGAATTAGAGAGCTTGTTCAAACACAATTTGCTGGACTCCCTTCCAGAGTTTCTGATTCAGTATTTCTGGGGTGGGCCCCAAGAATCTGCATCCCTAACAGGTTCCCAGGTGATGCTGGTGTTACTGATCTGGGGACAGCCCTTTGAGAACCACTGACCTAGTGCAAAACACTGATAACTTTATATATGCATATACAGTGTATATTTTTTATTGTTTTTATTAAAACACTGTTTCACCCTATCGTATAACCTGCCTTTTGTATTCAACGAACTCCACTTTGTACATGCATTTTTCTGTACCTGTGCTTCCTGCTGCTACCGAGCTGGCCTAGAAAGCAAGGAAAGAGATTGCTGACTATCTGGCTGCTGGGAAGGGTGCATGAGCTCAGATCTGAGTGGAAGACATTATCCGAGAAGACTACCTCAGGGAGGCCATGGAGATCCTGGAACTATATTGTGATCTGCTGCTGGCTTGGTTTAGCTTGATCCAAGCCACAAAGTAAGACCTGTGGAACTTGAACCATTTGTTAGGCTCAAAGGGGTGAGAGAACATCCTTGCCCCATAGTGAGGAAAAGGGTGGGCTTCAACTTGTTGAGACTGTGCCAAAGGACTTTGTCTCTAATTTTTATAGGAAGAAGTAATGCTGTTTGAAGAGACTAGGTCAGTCCAAAGAGCCATTTTTAGAATCATATGGTTGTCTTTTTCCCCCTGAGTTTGTAGAAAAGTGGGAAAATGCAGACAAAAAAAGAATCCATAATCACCAAGTCTGGAGCTAAGAATTTTGGTGTATTTCTTCCAGTCTGTATATGTATTTCTGTATTTATCTATGTTGCATAAACACATTGTGTGTGTGTATGTATAGTTATATATACCTATATGCACATATAAGTATGTATTCTAATTTCAGTTAAGAGGAATTATTTGACATATTTTGAATATTGTCCATGGGCTACCTTTTATTTATTTATTTATTTATTAAAGATTTTATTTATTTATTTGTCAGAGAGAGAGAGAGGGCACAAGCAGGGGGAGTGGCAGGCAGAGGGAGAAGCAGGCTTCCTCTTGAACAAGGATGAGGGGCCCAATCCCAGAACCCTGGGACCATGACCTGTGCCAAAGGCAGACGCTTAACCAACTGAGCCACCCAGGCTCCCCTACCTTTTTTTTTTTTATATATTTTATTTATTTATTACAGGGAGGATGTAGGAACAGGGAGGAGGGGCAGAAGGAGAAGCTTAATCCCAGATCCCTTCAGGGATCATAACCTGAGTTGAAGACAGATGCTTAACCAACTGAGCCACCCAGGCGCCTCCATGGGCTTCCTTTGAAGCAGGGGCGGGGGTGGGGGGAGAAACATAAAACCCTGTGTCGCCTAACTTTGTGATTTTCTTAGGGAACTGGATTCTGGTCTCACTGAATCTGTGACTGCACTAATCTGGACAGCCCCGCCCTCCAGTCAGAGGTACCTGAGTTGAAAATAGTAAGTCTAGGGGTGCCTGGTTGGCTCAGTGGGTTAAGCCTCTGCCTTTGGCTCAGAATATGATCCCAGGGCCCTGGGATTGAGCCCGGCATCAGACTCTCTGCACAGCAGGGTGTCTCCTTCCCTCCCCCACCACCCCTTCGCCTCTCTGTCTACTTGTGATCTCTCTGTCAAATAAATAAATAAAATCTTTTTTTAAAAAAAGAAAATATTAAGGGGCACCTGGGTGGCTCAGTGGATTAAAGCCTCTGCCTTCGGCTCGGGTCATGATCCCAGGGTTCTGGGATCGAGCCCCGCATCGGGCTTTCTGCTCAGCCGGGAGCCTGCTTCCTCCTCTCTCTTTGCCTGCTTCTCTGCCTACTCGTGATCTCTGTCTGTCAAATAAATAAATAAAATCTTAAAAAAAAAAAAAAAGAAAATATTAAGTCTAATAGTTTTCACTGCCTGTGCTACGACTGTAGGTGAGGGTATCACTAGTGCTTCTTGTTTGGAATTGTGGGATTAGTTCGAGGAATCCTTTTTTCTCTTAAAGGACAATGATAAAAGTTTTTTCTCCTGCTAGTCTTTAAATGAAAAAATGGTTTTCTTTTAATGTCAATAATAGATACAAATAAATAAACCTTACCTAAAAAAATAAAGCAAAATTTGAAATTGGATTTCTTTTGTGTGGAGACAGGAATCCTAATTTATAAGGTGTTTACAATTAGAGTTTCTAAGTTTAACATTTATCAGATATTTAAAAACAAAGAAAAGCACTTGTTAAATGTTGCTGTTGCTGCTGTTTTGATGCTAAAAGAATGTAATTTCAATGAGGTAATATGAAAGTGATTTTTGCTCTTTTGGTAGTTCTTCATCTCAAGCAAATTTGCCATAACTTGATGAATTTTGCCTTTATTTCTTTCTTGATGATGGTTTGCTCCAGGTATCTAATCAGCTGCGTGCAAAGTACAGCCAAGAATATGGCCAGCTGTGTTGAACCAACGAGATTGGAACTGTCAGCTCTCAGGTAGTACTCTTACAGAGACACACATTTTTCTATGTCAAGAAATCCAGAAAAAGAACACTTAATTTTCTGCAGACTGCAAGATGTTTAGAAATAAGTTTTGCATTGGAGGCAGAGCATTTTAGATTAGGGAACTCAGATGCTTATCAAAAAACTAGCCTCAAGCAAGGTGAGATGGTTCCTTTATGAAGAAGGCATAGATTTTCCTAAATGAAACTGGCCTAGTGATATGAAGGAAGTTAATAAACTTAGAAGCTTCAGCTTTTGGACATCTTCCATCAGGACCACACACATAAAATTCAGCACTGATATTCAGCTGAGACACAGAGATCTGGCTGCAGTGTTGTTTAATGCTGGCAAATGCTCTCAGTCTCTAGCGTGTCCAATTTTTTTTAAAGATTTTATTTATTTATTTGACAGAGAGATCACAAGTGGGCAGAGAGGCAGGCAGAGAGAGAGGGTGGGGGGGAAGCAGGCTCCCTGCTGAGCAGAGAGCCCTAGGATCATGACCTGAGCCAAAGGCAGAGGCTTAACCCACTGAGCCACCCAGGCGACCCCAGCGTGTCCGTTCTGATTGGATGGTGCCCTGCTGTGCTGGTTGCTGAGTGTGTTGTATCACCTCTGACAACTCAAATACGTATAAAGTCAGAATTCTCGAGTCAAAGTATTTTTTATTATGTTTATTTTCTTCCTCTTATTTTACTTGGTCTGAGGCTCTTTCATCCCAGGAGAGTGCTGCCATATTACACAAACTAAACCCTTTTTGTTTCCGAATTTGTAGATATGTGTGTGACCAAGTCTGTTATGTTCTTTATCTTCTAGCTCATGTGAAAATTAAATGTGAACACTCTACCCCAAGTACTAGTAGAACAATACCTGATAGAAATTGCTGAGAACTATCATGTGTCATATAAATCCAAGACAGCCATTATGGTGAGTACTTTCAGAAAGGGAGACTTGACTGACAGCTGAGATTTTTATTGTGCACCAGAAGATTTTTTTTTTTTCTGCTTAGGAATGTGGCTTTCAGAGGAACCCTGGCAGGAATGTAAAGCAGGTGACATTTGCACCTTTTCTCTGCCCACATACTTTTCCTAACAGAGCTCGACTTCTGCTGTCACATGACCCTTATAAGCTGGTAACATCGGAGTAGAAAACAAAGATGAAGTTATCTTTAGAATGTACTTGTGTAAAAAAACAAATAAAAAACAAAACACGGGGCACCTGGGTGGCTCAGTGGGTTAAGCGTCTGCCTTCGGCTCAGGTCATGATCTCAGGGTCCTGGGATCGAGCCCCACATCAGGCTCTCTTCTCAGCAGGGAGCCTGCTTCCCCCCTCTCTCTCTGCCTGCCTCTCTGTCTACTTGTCATCTCTCTCTCTGTCAAATAAATAAATAAAATCTTTTAAAAATAACCACACACACACACACACACACACACACACACACAGAAGTGTGTTAAACATTTTTGTTCTTAAGATCTCAATTTTATCCCCCCAGAGATAGTTTGCATTTTAATAAAGGGCTCTTGGATTAAGGGCTGCAAGATCCTAGAGTATAAAGCACTCTCTTTTGGTGTTGGTTAAGAGTATGAGTTCAGTAGTGAAATGGCCTATATTCAGATCCTAGATTCACCATTTATTAACTTTGAGACCTCGGGCAAGGGGCTTACCCTTTCAAAGACTCAGTCCTCTGAACTTTAACGAGGGAGATGATCGGGGCGCCTTGGTGGCTCAGTCGTTAAGCGTCTGCCTTCTACTCAGGTCATGACCCTGGGGTCCTGGGATCAAGCTCTGCATTGAGCCCCTCATCAAGCCACCCATCGAGACCCACATGGAGACCCACATCGGCCTCCTTGCTCAGCAGGAAGCCTGCTTCTCCCTCTCCCACTCCCCCTGCTTGTGTTCCCTCTCTTGCTGTGTCTTTCTGTCAAATAAATAAATCTTAAGAAAAAGAAAAGGGGGATGATCATAGTTAATAATTGTTACCAAGTCTCATAAGTTCATTGAGATTATTAAATGAGCTAATATGAATAAGGAAGTTAAATGCAATGCATGGCATATAACCAATGCAATCAAGTTTTGCTTTTTGTCATCATCACTGAGGGTGGTTTAAGCTTCCAGAAGGTAGTCATGGAGTGTTTTAGGGCAAGAGGGATATCCCTGTAATGCCTTTGAATTGCTGAGGGAGAAGAGGAAGCAGACTCCCCACTGACCGGGACTTGGGATGGGGCTCAATCCCAGGACCCTAAGATCTTGACCAGAGCTGAAGTCAGACACTTAACCAACGGAGCCACTTAAAGGCCCCATTCCATTGGCTTTTAATTTCACTTACAGTAACAGGAAGCAGCTTTCCTCTGACCAAGGATGCTGCCCATAGGCACTCTCATCTCTTCTCTCTGCCCTCATTCTCTCTGTTCTCCCCTTTGTTTACTCTGCCTCGGCCACACTGGCCTCTTCCTGCTTCTTCAAACACACATGCTGATTCCCACCTCAGGACCTTTGTACTTCCGGTACTCTGTGTTCTCTAGCTATCTGCCCTCTCCCTCGCTTACTTCCTTCAGGTCTGCACTTACATGTTCTCTTCTCTGAGTCCCTTCCCAGCTACCTTCTCTGAAATGTCCACCTCTTCCCTCTTTTCTGCTTTATGTTTTTTTCTCTATCGCTCGTATCTCCAACATACTGTACCATTCACTTAGCGATTTTGTTTATATGTTTTGTCCCCTGGAATATCAGTTGTATATGGACAGGGACATCTGTCTGTTTTGTTTACTGTAGCATCCCTAGCCCTGTGTGGACTTTACGTTAGGTGGTCAATGGATTCTGTCAAACGAGGGAATAAATCCAGACTTTGCCACTGCTAAAGCTTGGTGAACTTTCTTGTAGATCTATCTATGCATATTTATGTGTAGCTCTTAATCACTGAGGTACCACAGGGTGTGACCCTTAAAACGTCGTCATTGAAAGAGCAAGAAGCAGCTTGTGGGCCAGAGGCTCGAAGCCTGCTTTAATGGTCATTGACTTATACTAGAGTCTAAACTGTGTGAGGGTAGGAACTATGTCTCTTTGCTCACCACTTCTTCACCTGTGCTTCCAAGAATGTTTGGCAGATGGTAGGTATTACAATAAACAAATGTGTGATAAACTGAGAACCCAATGTGATTCTTACCTTCTTGCCTCAGGAGGAAGCCCCGACAGACCTGGTCAGTATTGGATTTACTGAGGATGTCAAGAAAGGTGCCCTTGGCAGAACCAGTGGAACTTTAGCAAAAACCGGTGATCCCCTCAAGGCATCACCAGTATGTGTACTGGGGCCCTTTTCTATGAGATCCCCGGCCCCTTGTTTCTCACACCTTCCTCCTGAAAGACAGGTCAGTACAGAAATGGGAAACTGAATCTGGAATGCTAGTACCAGTAGTGGTAGAATATATTTCTACATGGGCTTTTTGAATGGTACAATAATCCTTGTGAAGTTTTTAAGGCCAGGGGGCATATTTACAGTCATTTAGCTGACATTTGATGTGTTTTTATGCTGAACTCATGAGACATAGGCTGATGGTCTTTTATCATCATCTTGATAATACCACAATATGGATGCAGGGACATTTTTATGAGCTGGACAAATCTGAAAGTCTTTAATGTACAGTGATTTAGACTCATGTTTCAATATTTAATTTATATGTGGTGAAAACAATTTACTCTCTTATTGAAAATAGTATAAAAATCTCAGAACTTTGTATGTATAAATCTAGAAAAATCAAATAAATAGAAGTTCAGGAGCCATAGACATTAATATTCTTTATTCTCTGTTCCTTCAGTATGAAGTAAAGAGAAATTGTTTTTATTCTTTTTATCTTGCTAGGCATTTCTGACCCCATGGAACTCTTTTTTAAAGATTTTATATTTCAGACATAATTTAGCTCTGATCTTCCTTGTTGAAATTTTTGTCTGAACCGCACCTTGTGTACTGCTCAGCTTCCAGTCTTGGAATGCAAGGACTCTGATTTAAAATAAAAAAGAGTTATAATCTCTAGCTCCGTCTATGTCATTGCAAATGGCAGGATTTCATTCCCTTTATGTCTGAATAATATTCTATTGTGTATATATGCCACATCTTCTTTATCTTTTGATGGGCACTTGGGCTGCTTCCGTATCTTGGCTATTGTAAATAATGCTGTTATAAGTCATTCAGAGAAAGACAAATACCATATGATTTCACTCATATGTGAAATTTAAGAAAAAAAAAGCAGAAGGAAAAAGAAGAGAGACAGAGAGACAAACCAAGAAAGAGTCTTAACTATAGAGAACAAACTGATGGTTGCCAGATGGGAGGTGAAATGGGGTGTGTGAAATAGGTAAGGGGGATTAAGGAGTGCACTTGTTGTGATGATCACCAGGTATTGTACGAAATTGTTGAGTCGCTGTATTGTACACCTGAGACTAATATAACACTTCATGTTGACTAAATGGAGTGAAACTAAAACCTTAAAGAAGAAAAATAAAAATGAAAAAGAAAACTTTATCATGGAAACTTTAAACATATAGAATATTAGAGAGAACAATATAATGAACTTCCAGGTACCCATCAATTTTAACAGTTGTCAACATTCTGCTTCTTTTATTTCTTCTATCTCTCTCCTCCTGACACTTTTTTTGTGTGTTGGGAAGAAGGAATTTAAAGCAAATCTCAGACGTCATATAATTTCACGCATAAACAATTCAGTATATATTCAGTATATATATTCAGTATATATTTCTGACACATACCCTTTGTCTTTATAATATAAAACAATGCCATTATGATGCACAATACAATTAAAAATAATTCCTTAATATTAACTCCTTAATAAATCCTTAATACTCAATATACATTATATTTTATTTATTCTCAGAAATATATTTTTTACAGCTTTTTGTTGAAATAAAGATCCAGAAAGATCCAAAAAGATCTACACACTATATTTGCCGATACATCTTTTAAATCTTTTCATCCTAACACTCCCTTCTTCCTGCTTGTCCTTTTCTCCTCGCCACTTATTTGTTGAAAAAAGGGTCCTCTGACTTTATTAAACTGAATCATCTTTCACAAGTAGCATCTCCAGGCTTAAAGATAAAAGATTTCCCAATTCTTATATGAGACCACACGTGTAAAAAGAAGCAAAACTCATAGTCACTCCTAAAGCTAATTTCCAGAAGGCATAAAAAAATAAAAATAAATTCCCTTTCACAGAAAGGAAGTTTGAGGGTGATTAAGTTAACTTAAGTTAATTATATGAAATATTTACTGAAGGCTTACTATGAAAAATTGCGTGTTTGGAACTCAAACCAATCATATCCCAGTGGTCTTTTTTCTTTCAGAGTGACTCCTATAAGAAGAATGATTTGTTTCCTTCACTGGTTCCTAGTAAGTATAGGGAATGCTGGTAGAAACTGGAATTGCTTAATATATGTTGAAGTTTTCCAGTTGTTATAAGACTATTCCTTGGGGTGCTTGGGTGGCTCAGTCAGGTAAGCATCTGACCCTTGATCTCAGCTCAGGTCTTGATCTTGGGGTTGTGAGTTCAAGCCCCACATTGGGCTCCGTGTGCTCCACTTAAGAAAAAAAAAAAAAACTATTCCTCCATAGGTGAGAGAAGGTTATTAGTGATTGATTAGGAGTACAGTGGGTTCCTTTATAGTAGCTAACAGTTTTCAAAGTGTATATAGATCTCTGAGAGATCTTTAACACACACACACACACACACACACACACACAAAGGTTTTAAAACCACTACCACACTGGATCATCATGGCACATATTTTGAAAAAGTGTTCTTTTTTAAAAAGTCCAGTTTGAAAAAAGAAGGTCCAGATTGCCCTTGAAGCAAGGGCCAACAAAATGTCACTGCTACCACCGTTTGCATGCTGGGGGAGTTGTCTAGTTCTCCAGATTATATGCTGCCCTCTCGAAAGTAATAATAGCCTACTGTCTTTAAGTCTGGGATTTCTTTCTGGAAGACTGTATTATTGTGACTTTGAATTATATTTATTGAAATGAACAGGTCAGGACTCAACCCCCCCAACTTCTCCAAAGCCAGAATCAAGATCCAGGGTTGGTTTTGTTGACTTTATGTTGCCTGATTTGCCCAAAGTAAAACCTCAGGCAAGCCTATCCATTGACCCTCATGGTTCTGAGGAAGTTGATCTTGAAGATCTTAACCAGAGACTTGAAATGCTGAAAAAGACCACATAATTCCTTGGTCTTGGATTGGGCAATTAATTTTGGGGGCATCAGAGCTCTTCAGCACATTTTAATATGGCTACTCATGTGTGGGTCTGAAGTTTTCTCATTTACAATTCCTTCCATCTCTCTTTTTTTTCATTTATTTTTATTTATTTTTATCCTTCCATCTCTTAAAGTGTGTGGTTCTCTGTAATAATATGTATGTGTGTCTGTCTGTGTATACACATATAATTATTCATGTCTCTTAAAATTCTATAAATCTTAAATGAAGATTCCTGACCTAAAGAATTTTATTAATTACAGTCAATAAGCTCTTGATTTCTTCTGGATCCTTATTTCTCTCATAATTATCACTTTTTCCAGGGAGGCAGAATGGTGTGTATTTAAACCCTGCACTTACTAACTATAAGACTCCTCGGTAAATGGTACCTTTGTCAAATGTGCATGAGAGAGCAAAGAAACTAGAGAAATATGTGTCTTTTAAAAAATGAGTATTTGGGGGGTACCTGGGTGGCTCAGTGGGTTAAAGCCTCTGCCTTCAGCTCGAGTCATGATCCCAGGGTCCTGGGATCGAGTCCCGCATAGGGCTCTCTGCTCAGCGGGGAACCTGCTTCCCGCCCCCCCTCTCTGCCTGCCTCTCTGCCTACTTGTGATCTCTCTCTCTGCCAAATAAATAAAATCTTTTAAAAAAATGAGTATTTGGGGGGCCTCCTGGGTGGCTCAGTCAGTTAAGCATCTGACTCTTGGTTTTGGCTCAGGTCATGATCTCAGGGTTCTGATCTTAGGACTGTGGGATCAAGCCCTTCAGTGGGCTCTGCACTCAGCATGGAGTCAGCTTGTCCCTCTTCCTCTACTCCCGCCTGCCATCTCTAAAACAAACAAACAAACAAACAAACATATAAATAAATAAAATCTTTTTTTTAAATGAGTATTTTATTTTTTTATTATTTTTAAAAGATTCTATTTATTTATTTGACAGAGAGAGATCACAAGTAGGCAGAGAGGCAAGCAGAGAGAGAGAGGAAGAAGCAGGCTCCCTGCTAAGCAAAGAGCCCAATGTGGGACTCAATCCCTGGACTCTGGGATCATGACCTGAGCTGAAGGCAGAGGCTTTAACCCACTGAGCCACCCAGGTGCCCCTAAAAATTAGTGTTTTAAAGAAAGAATGTGCAAGCTTAGAGTGAATGAGAGCTGCTATCAGGAATTAAAAGATATGGTGTATGTAAATCCCTTTAGCACTTAGTAGGTGCTTAATAAATGTTAGTTTCCTTTTCAAGTTCTATTATTTGCTAAGTTCCAGTGGGCTAAATATTAGTGACTCTATGAAACTGGATAAATGAGAGGCTGAGAAAACAAATGGTCAGAGTAATTATTTTGTATTTTGTACAACTGTTTTTGTTTTTGTTCTTAGCAGCCTCCATGCCCAACGCGGGGCTCCAACTCACTCTTGAGCTGAGATCAAGAGTTGGACGCTTAATCAACTGAACCACACAGGCACCCCTGTTTTTCCTTTTAATAGTCTTTATGTTTTAGAGCAGTTTTAGGTTCACAGTAAAATGCCAGATTTTTTTTTTAAAGGTTTTTATTCATTTACCCACGAGAGAGAGAGAGAGAGAGAGCAAGAGCGAGAGTGCATGCACACAAGCAGGGGGAGCACCAGGCAGAGGGAGAGGGAGAAGCAGGCTCTGCTCTGAGCAAGGAGCCAGTTGTAGGACTCGGTATCAGGACCCTGGGATCATGACCTGAGCCTAAGGCAGTTGCTTAAGCAACCCAGGTGTCGCCTTTTTTTTTTTTTTTAAGATTTTATTATTTGGGAGCGAGAGCACGAGTAGGGCCGGGGAGGAGTGGAGGGAGAGGGAGAAGCAGGCTTCTTGCTGAGCAGGGAGCCCAATTGAGATCATGACCTGAGCGGAAATGGAGAGTCAGATACTTAACCAACCAAGCCACCCAGGAGCCTCCCATTTTTATTTTTTTTTATGCTATTTTATTTTATTTTTTTAAGGATTTTATTTATTTATTTGACAGACAGAGATCACAAGTAGGCAGAGAGGCAGGCAGAGAGAGGAGGAAGCAGGCTCTCCGCAGAGCAGAAAACCCATTGTGGGGCTCGATTCCAGGATCCTGGGATCATGACCTGAGCGGAAGGCAGAGGCTTTAACCCACTGAGCCACCCAGGCGCCTCCCATTTTTATTTTTATTTTTATTTTTTTAGAAGTATTTTATTTTATTCTTTTTTTTAAAGATTTTATTTATTTATTTGACAGCAAGAGAGATCACAAGTAGGCAGAGAAGCAGGCAAAGAGAGAGGGGGAAGCAGGCTCCCCGCTGAGCAAGTAGCCCAATGCAGGGCTCGATCCCAGGACCCTGAGATCATGACCTGAGCCGAAGGCAGAGGCTTAACCCACTGAACTACCCAGGCGCCCCCCACCCATTTTTATTTTTTAAAGATTTTTTTTTTTAATTTAGCCAAACTGATTAAAAAAAAATTTTTTTTTTTTTTTTTGAGAGAGAGAGAGTGCGAGCACATGAGTGAAGGCTAGAGGGGCAGAGGGAGAGGGAGGGTGAGAAGCAGAAGCAGAAGAAGAGGGTTGGATCCTAGGAGCCTGAGATCATAACCTGAGCCGAGGTCAGTAGACCCAGGTACCCCCAAATGAATATTTATTTATTTATTTATTTAAACTAGAAAGAGAGAGCGCACAGGTGGTAGGGGCAGAGGGAAAGGGAGAAGCAGACTCCCCACTAAGCAGCAAGCCCTATATGGGGCTCTATCCCACCACTAGGGATCATGACCTGAGATGAAAGCTGACGCTTAACCAACTGAACCACCCTGGCACCCCCAAATTAATTTTCATTTTATTTTATTTTGTTAAAGATTTATGTATTTATTTGAGATAGAGGGACAGAGCATGAGCAGGGGGAGGGGCAAAGAGAGAGGGACAAGCAGATTCCCTGCTGAACAAGGAGCCTGACCCATGTGAGGTGCTATCTCAGGACCCTAAGATCATGACTTGAGCTGAAATCAGGAGTTGGTCACTCAACTGATTGAGCCATTCAGGTGCAGCCCCCAAATTAATTTTTAAATACAATGATTGATTATGCAAAATCTTTATACAGAATCCCATTTTATGTGTCTAGGAGAGTTTACATTGCCCCCTTTGCAGGTGACAAAGTGATACCTGTAAACCAACTTCTCTCTTTAAAAAAATCAGTTTGATCTTGAATGTCTCATTGAAGGATTTCCCCCTCCTCGTATAAAGCACGTTAATTCAAAGACTATGGGGTCAGAGGGAGGATCTTCCAAATCCAAGGCCAAGGGACTCACTTGCACAGCAAGCGGGCTGCCTCTCCTGTGGAGTATAGCGCCTCACTCTGGCACCTGTTTGAGTCCTAGATCATCCTCTAGAATGTGTGAGCAGGTTGGTGGAGGATTTTGGTGTTTCCTTACCTGGGTACAAGGAAATTGCTGCATCAGCTGCTGTATATGTCTCAACACTTCTTGGACTTCCCAGGCTAATTTTATTTTATTTTTGTTTTATTTAAAGTAGGCTCCATGCCCAGCATGGAGCCCAACCCAAAGGCTTGAACCCACAACCATGAGATCAAACCTGAGACCATGAGTTCAAGATCTGAGATGAGATCAGGAGTCAGATGCTCATTTAAAAAAAAAAAAAAAAGTCAGATGCTCAATTGGCTGAGCCATCCAGGTACCCTTTCCCAGACTAATTTTAAAGCAAATTGTAGGTATCTGGGTGGCTCAGTCAGTTAAGTGTCTGCCTTCCGCTCAGGTCATGATCCTGGGGTTCTGGGATCAAGCCCAGCATTGGGCTTCTTGTTCAGTGGGATCCTGCTTCTCCTTCTCCCTGTCACTGCTCCTGCATGTACACTCTCTCTCTGTGTGTGTCAAATAAGTAAAATATGTATATTAAAAAAAAGCAAGTTGTTGATCTGCCTGATTTTAGAGGAGTAAGGATAAGGCTATGCACGTAAAGGAAAACAAAACCAATTTACCATGGAATCTTGTAGGCAAATGATGGTGCCCATATTAAGGAACTAAAAGTACTTGAGTAGGAAATGAGTCAGAAGCCCTGCTGTGTTTCTGGATAGTGCAACCCTCTCTGGTGGTCACAGTTCTGTCTTCCCTAAACTAAAGAATGGCACTATTTCCTCAGGTTGGGGTTTCAGTTGGTTGCAGTCTCATATCTGGTGAGAGTTTTCACTCCAGAAGTGCCAACATAATACAGAATCACTTAGGGACGCCGGGGTGGCTCAGTTAAGCGGCTACCTTCAGCTCAGGTCATGATCCCAGGGTTCTGGGATCGAGTCCTGCATTGGGCTACTTGCTCAGCGGGGAGCCATCTTCTCTCTGCCTGCCACCCTGCCTGCTTGTGCGCTCTCTCTCTCTCTGACAAATAAATAAGTAAAATCTTTTAAAAAAGATATAGAATCATTTACAAGCCAAGTATAAATATTCTACAAAAAAAGAAAATATTGTGACATAAAACATCTCGAGTGGCACTGTGGACTGCCTTTTTAAAAAAAATCTCTAAAGCAAAGAATTGGGTTGGCTGACCCTTGTATCCTATAGACTTTGAAGGAACATGTAGTAGATTTCCTGCTGGTTTTGGTAGGAGGTTAAAGAGCATATGGAGTTGGCTCTTAGAGTTTCAGTTTTTACATCATTTCTAGCTCTTTTGTCACAACTGAAAAATTAATTCCTAAACCCTTTTCTCAAGCCAGGATAAATTGTGAGTAGGGACCATGCTTAAAAGAATTGTAAAAATGCTTTTTGTGAAAACATTACGTAAACAACAGAGGGACTAATTTCTCTCTGACTTTCAGGCTTATTTATAGATTTGGGTGACTCAAAAGAGTGGAGCTGCCTCACGTCACTGTCACTATATTTCCTACAGGGTTGTATCTCCTTCACTCTCCTTTCTTGGCTGAGGTCTCTGGCACGTGGAGAAGCAGGAAGGGTTCCTTGTGAAAGATGCTCACCACATTTCTGCGGGGAGAGCTTTCCCTATCTGCTGTAAAGATCATATGGCTTCAGCTGCTGATACTGAGTCATTTAAGAACCTCACTGCATCTAAGCCCAAAAAAGAATATACCCCCTCACCCCACCCCCCCCCAGATACCAGAGATTCCAAATGACATGCCATGTCTTCCAAGACACTTCTTTCACTGTTCTGGTGCCCCATGATCTCTCATTTTTCTGCTTCTTTTGGGGTTAGGACTTATCTGCTAAGTGATAATATCATTGACATTTTTGTGTTAGAGGATATTTTAAAAACCTAGCTTGCCTTAATGAGATTAAGGAAGGTATGACAGTCTCTTTTGAAATGTCCCTTACAGGGACGCCTGGGTGGCTCAGCTGGTTAAGCATCTGCCTTTGGTTCAGGTCATGGTCCCAGGATCCTGGGATTGAGCCCCACATCAGGCTTCCTTCTTGGCAGGAGTGTCTGCTTCTTCCTCTGTGCCTTCCCCTGCTCGTGCTTGCTCTCTCTCTCTCTGTCTCTGAAAGAAATAGAAATCTTTAAAGAAAATAAAAAAAAGAAAGAAAGAAATGTCTTTTACAGATTCTGTGCACCCAGGGCAGTATGATGTAGTGAAATATAAATCTTTAAAAAAAAAATTGAAAAAAAAGAAAAATGTCTCTTACAGATTCTGTGCACCCAGGACAGTATGGTGTAGTAAAGAGACTCAGGCAGTCCATTTATTAAATGACTGCTATGTAGACTAAAAGAAATATACAGTTAGTCCTCACTTTTCAAAAGGTCACATTAGACTGCCTCACTTTTATGAATGACCTACATTAGTACCTGTTCTCGCTAACCAAAGGAAATCTGAAGATTTTCACTTCCACAAAAAAAAAAAAAAAAAAAAGTGAAAATGGCACTCAGTGTTTGTTTCGCAGTCAGCATTGAGGCAGCATGCACACGGAGCAGTGAGAGTGTCCCTGCCAAGTTTCTTCCCTGAGATCTATGCTAAAATTTAGGTAAGATTTTTCCTAGAAAGACCTTATATTTATTGAGCCCTTACTATACGCCTACCCCTGTTCTAAGTTCAAGTGTATCAGCTTATTTGATAATGACACCAGCTTTAAGATGCCAATGCTACTGGCTGTTATTAACTCCATTTTATAGATGGAGACATCGAGGTTCAGAAATCCTCAGAAATGTGAAGTAACTTGCTGTAGGTCACACAGTAAAGAGAAGAAGGGCGGTATTTCAAGCCCAAGCAGTCTAGCACTAGAAACCAACATTTTTAACTGCTATAGTATAATGCCTCTATGGTTTACAGGCTCCCGAGGAGCAAATGAATCAGTGCGTATGAAAACACTTTTGTGAGTTGTGAGACACAATGCACTACTGTTACTTGTAGTGGACAATCAATAAATGGCTTAGCTGAATTGTTTGGTGGCACAAAAAGTATTTATACTTACATTGTAATGATCCTTGGTACTTTTCAAAGTGCTTTCACACATTTGATCTCTCGGGATAATAAGCCACTTTGAATCCATTTTGGAACAAGGCTGGTCATCAATACATGTGGGGCCGCTGAAGTTACAGGCCCAGAGATGGGAAACACCTTGCTTACAGCAGGAAGTCAGTAACCCAGTCAGGACTGGCACGCGAATGATCCGACTCCTGGCTGATGCCTCTTTAGTTTTGTCCTTGGTTTTTGTTGTTATTATTTGTTAAACTGAACATATGAGTTGTTAGTAATAAACAGAACTATACAAATAATTATCCTTTCTCCCAGCTGTTTTTTCTTCCTACAGGTTTTGCTAATTCTTTCAAGATGTTGCTGTATAAAAACAAAAATCCCCTGGGGTGCCAGTCTGAAGAGCATATGACTTTTGATCTCAGGGTCCTGAGTTCCAGACCCACATTAGGTATAGAGTTTTACTAAAAAAACTAAATAAACTTTAAAATAAATAAATAAAAACAAAGATCTCCTTTAGGACTTGGATCTGTACAACTGCATTATCTTTTTTTTAAGATTATTTATTTATTTATTTGACAGACAGAGATCACAAGTAGGCAGAGAGGCAGAGAGAGAGAGGAAGGGAAGCAGGCTCCCCGCCAAGCAGAGAGCCTGATGCAGGGCTCGATCCCAGGACCCTGGGATCATGACCCGAGCCGAAGGCAGAGGCTTTAACCCACTGAGCCACCCAGGCGCCCCTGTACAACTGCATTATCTTATAAGAACTTTTTTCTAAAAGGCAAGTCTTTTTTCCCCCCAAAAGTACAGCATGCTCATTGCAAAACCAAAATGTAATAAAGTAAAAATCCTCTCTAATCCCACCATCCAAAGGTAAATATTTTCACATTTTAGTTTTGTCCTTCAACTTTTTTCTGTGTACATACACACTTTCTACAATATTATTATAATGCCACTTTGTAATGTTTTTTCTAATTTGTCATACCATGATAATGAAGATAGAACTAGAGATTCAGTTTTATTGGCAGCATAGCATTCTGTTTTATTGATGTGCTGTAATTTATCTGAAACTGAGGATTATGCTTGACTAGACAGGGAGTAAGTCGTCCCAAACTTTAATGGCTAGCCACAGAAACCAAAGCTCTTAGGATAATGATGACCATGCTCTCTACTGGGTCAATTGCTTTTATTTTTTGTTGCATTGGAGGAGTTTGGTAATTATAAGTAAAAAGATACACGGAGGGAGTTTACATTTTATACTGTTTGTCATGTTCTCTCTAATGCTCTGCCACTTGGCATGGTACTAGAAAAGTTCCTGCCTCTTTCTTAGGAAGATAGTTTAATTTTTCTTTTGTGGTTTGCAGTGGTAAACACTTAAATTCAAGCTCAAAGCAAATTTTTGTGATGTTGCAAACAAAATACCTTAACTGCTTTGTAACCTGCGAGGTTTTTTAAATTTTTATTTTTAAAAAGATTTTGTATATTTATTTGTCAGAGAGAGAGAGAGATAGCACACAAGTATCGGGAGCGGCAGACAGAGGGAGAAGGAGGCTCCCTGCCGAGCAAGGAGCCAGTTGCAGAACTCGATGCAACGGACCCTGGGATTATGACCTGAGCCGAAGGCAGATGTTTAACCAACTGAGCCACCCAGGTACCCTCCACCTAAACTGTTCTTAATGTGTTCATGCCTAGCTATACTTCAGAGGAATATTTGTAGTGACATCACCATGTTCTCTAGTTTTATGCTACTACTGAGTAGATGCATGATCCAAGGCTGAACTGTACAGTAGTGCTTTGCGGGGTATGAGGCAACTGAATTCCATAAGCTTTCTGTTCCTCAGACCATTTGGACTGATTCTACCTTGAGTGTGGATGTGGGGGGTGGGTGGGTGTGTATTCTTTTCTAATTCAGAAGGTGGCACCATGTTGCAGAATCCCAATGTGGGAGGGGCTGGGAGGCCTTTGAGTAACACTTTCTGTGAGCCTCAGTCTCATTAAAAAAAAAAAGATTTTATTTATTTGTCAGAGAGAGAGCAAGAGCGTGCACAAGCACAGGACAGAGGGATAAGCAGGCTCCCCGCTGAGCAAGGAGCCCTGGGGCTCTATCCTAGGCCCTGGGATCATGACCTGAGCCAAAGGCACCTGCTTACCTGACTGAGCCACCCAGGCGCCTCTGTCTCGTTATTTGTAAAACTAAATTACCTATGCTTGTCTAGTCTGATTTAGCAGGTTGGTGGGAGGGTCAAATTAGAAAATTAGGAAAATGCTTTTATAACCAATGTGGTATCAATACTTAATAATAAAAAAATGGTAATTACTATTATCATGCCCCTGGGCTTTGTTTCCAGTCACTTCGTAAGTCCTAGTAGTTCAGGAGTGAAATTGTATAGATTGACCGCCTCAATTCAGTCTTTTTTTTTAAAGATTTTATTTATTTGACACAGAGAAATCACAAGTAGGCAGAGAGACAGGCAGAGGGAGGAGGGGAAGCAGTCTTCCTGCCCAGCAGAGAGCCTGATGTGGGGCTTGATCCCAAGACCCCGAGATCATGACCCAAACTGAAGGCAGAGGCTTAACCCACTGAGCCACCCAGGCTACGCTTCAGTTCAGTTTTTAAAAAAAGATTTTATTTATATGAAAGAGAGAGAGGAAACAGGAGCAGTGGGGAAAGGCAAAGAAAGAAGAAAACTCCCCACTAAGGTGGGAGCCCTCGAAGGGCTGGATCCCAGGAACCCAGGATCATGATTGGAAGGCAGAGGCTTCACCCATTGAGTCACCCGGGAGCCCCTCCTCAATTCAATTTTTGGAAAATGTTTTGAAATCTCCAAATAAATGTACCTAAGGAAAAAAGCACAACCTCCTGTCTATAACAGGTCCTAAACTCAAGATGTACGGTTAGTACAGTTCTTTTTAAAAAAAATTTTTTTTTGTTTATTTGACAGACAAGAGATTACAATTAGGCAGAGAGAGAGAGAGAGGAGGAAGCCAACTCCCCGCTGAGCAGAGAGCCCGATGCGGGGCTGGATCCCACGACACCGGGATCATGACCTGAGTCGAAGGCAGAGGCTTTAACCCACTGAACCACCCAGGCACCCTTGGTTCGTAGTTCTTTTTGGCATCCAGCCAGGTGCAGTACTTTATTCATTTTCACGACTACTTTACTGCCAATCTACCTGAAGGACTTTAGTTTAGGTAGGTCATCTTTCCCTTAAATGGGCCAAGGTATCATGACCCTCTTTACTGTTCACTTGGAAAATACTTGAGTCAGGTGTTAGTAATTATTTATCAAGCCAGGAACTGTCTCGGTAGACTGTCTTTGGCTCAGGTCATTAGTTGTTGGAGAAATGGTCAGAAAGCCCACTCTGGAAGGGTTTTAACCCTCACTAGTCCAAATCCTTTGTTTTTACATATGAAGAAACTGAAGCACTGAGAGTTTAAATGATTTGTCCAATGCAGGAGATTGAGCGATGGTACTGGAACTGGAATCCATTCTAATGTATCATTCTCTAATCTAATCTAGAGAATCCGAGACCACTTGGAGCATGTACCCGAAGTTAACCTAGAGAGAAAGCTAAGGTCTCAAACACAATAGGAAATAGTTTAGGATATTTGTGCATTAAGTCCCAGCGGCCACCTGCCTCGCCTCGCCCACCTCCTCAG